AGTAGAGACTGAGATGGGGATTCCTATGACACTGGCATTCCTTTTGAGAAGTGACTCAGAGGGGACGGGAGGGAAGCAGGACAGAGCAGGGGAAGGAGCTAGGCAAGGAGGCCATAGTTGTAGAAACTGCTCCCTGCTTGAGATAAGGACCTTCCTGGTCTTCTAGGCCATCCCCCACACCCCTCCCCGTTCACAGTTTCCATCTGGCAGAGGCCAATTCTCCAGAGAAGGGGCAGCTGTGAATAGTTACCGGCCAGCATTCACAACAGCTGGGTGAGGGGTGCCCCAGCCTGGTGACGGGAATCCACAACACTCACACTAGGTACTTATAACACCCTCGGAGGCAGAAGTTCTCCCATTTGACAGAAAGCTGACACGGCTTGCATAGGGTTAGAGTGGGCATCTGGCTGGGATGTCCAAGAGCTGGCTTTGAATCTAGGTCTGTTGAGCCCACGGCCCAGTTCTTTTCCTCTTCACCCTCATCCCAGGAAGAGGGAGACTCTTCCCAGCATCACATAACCAGGAAACATTATCCTTGTAACTCCTGACCAGGGTCTGCTCTCAACAGGGAGAAAAGCTGATCTCTACCAGGCCTTCCCCTCCCAGAAGCTGCTGATGAGCCAGAGCCATGCCTGAGAAGTGCATCTCAATCTCAGACCACCCAGGCAGGTCTGGTGCAAAAGAAACACAGGGTCCAGGGAGGGGGAAAGGGGATACTGTATGAAAGCTAAGGCAGCCAGGCAGGAGTTTTGTGGAAACTTGCAAAAACTAAACAACAAAGGATGCATTTGCAAAAGAAACTTCGAGCCCCTAAGAGCTGGTTTGAAAATTTTTAAAGGGGGCACAGCTGGCTGATATATACCCCATAGGAACCTGTGTCTCCAATCAAGTTTCTAAATAAAGAAGATGGTGTTTCAGGAGAAGGTTACATTAAAGAGCAGGTTTTTTAACATGACGAAATTGTACGTTCAGAAAGCAAACGTCTCCCAGAAATGGCTTCCTGCCTATATCCAGAGCTTTGCACATAAGTGCCCAATAAACATTTGCTGAATAGGTGAAACTTACATTTAACTGTATTTATAAAATTCATTTTATGCCATTTAGAGTGTTTGTACTCTGAATCCGCTATTGGCGAGGAGACCCTCATTTTGCCCACATGTTTATGTCAGTCCCCCCATGACTAGGACCATATAATTCCTGCAGTTGGTGAGTACCACACCATGACAGGGTGTTCATGTACATATGTGAGTGTGTGGGTTCAGGCAAGCACTCCAGGGAAAAGACTGGATGAAAAAATTAAGAAGTAGGGGTCCTGGAGCCCCACCAAGCCACTGCTGTTCTCCAGTAAAATCAGCACGAACAACATACCATGTTCCCTGTAGGTGGCAGTTTGTTAAAAGACCACGATACTTTTCAGCTCCTCCCATCAAACAGGTGGGATCTATTTCACCATTCCTTGAGTCTAGACTGGCTTTCTGACTTGCTTTGACCAATAGACTGTGCTAGAAGTAGTCATGTGCCAGTTCTAAGCCTAGACCTCAAAAGGTCTGGCAGCTTCTGCTCTTGCTACTCTGGGAACCCTTCTCCAACCACATGAATAACCTCAGGCTAGCCTGCCAGGGGGTGTGGAAGAGAAGTGAGTCTCCATACCAACCAGCCCACAGCTGACCTGGTGGCTTACAGCTGCCACTTACATGGGTCCTAGCCATGACCGGATGAGCCATCCAGCTGAACCCAACCAACTGCCAACCCCTGGAACTATGAGCTAGACAAATGTTTGTTATTTTAAGATGCTGAGTTTTGACATGCTTCTTTTTTAAAATTTTTTTAATGTTTATTTATTTTTGAGAGAGAAAGAGAGAGACAGACAGATAGAGCATGAGCAGGGGAGGGGCAGAGAGAGAGGGAAACACGGAATCTGAAGCAGACTCCAGGCTCTGAGCTGTCAGCACAGAGCCTGACGTGGGGCTTGAATCCACGAACTGCGAGATCATGACCTGAGCCAAAGTCGGACGCTCAACTGGAGGCACCCCAGTTTTGACATGTTTCTTATGCAGCAAAAGCCAACTGGCACAGTGTAAGAGTCTAGACTATAATTGCTAATCTGTTCACATCCAGGTTGGCTCATGGCACCAGGGGTACTTAGTTAATCACGGGGAATCCTGATGTTTTCTTTATAAACTGCTAAGTTAAGGAGACTCTGAGTGACAGCACACAAGACTTAAAGGGATCCTTGGGGAATCCAACGACCTCATTTCACTGTCAGGGAAATTTAAGTCCAGAAAAGAGAAGGGGCCACATTTACCCATTACGCAAACCCTTCCTGAGTGCCTTCTACGTGCCAGGCTTTGTAACACATTGGGGGACACAACAGTGAACGACAGACTGGATCCTGCCCTCACGGAGGGCACAGTCTAATGTGGAAATCAGATGTTTACCAAGTCGTCACACAGATAAGATAAGCAGGCCATCACAAACAATGACAAATGCTATGAATTAACAGCACATGGTGCCACGAGAGAGAATCAAGGGGATGGGACCTAATCTGGATTTCAGGGTCACCAACAGCTTTCTGAGAAAGTGACATTTAGGCTGAAGCAAGTTGGTGGCAGGTGTTGAGTGGGAATGGAGTGTTCCACAGACACAGCAAAGTGATGTGTGGAGCTTTGAGCCCCAGCTGTCCCACTCCCTGGATGAGCCAGTCAATATCCTGAGGCTCAGCTTCCTCATCTATAAAATGGGATTAATGGCAACCTAGTCGTTCTCAAGACTGTTGTGAAATAACCAAGGAAAAGGCTTTGCAACCGTGAGATGCTGGGTAGGCAGGTGAGGGCGCAGCTGTTAACAGCTTGTTGGGGCACTAATTTGCCCTGTGTCTCCTCTCCAAAGGACTGCACGCCCCTCCCAAGCCTGGAGCAGACACGGAGCCCCACCTTCCGTTCTCACGGGGGTATAGCGCCAACACTCTCCATCAGGGTTTAAGCCACACTGATCCCACCATGCTATGGCTCTGAGAGCCAGGGCTCAGCGTGTTAGCAAGATGCACCTGAAACACTGTGAAAGGGCTCAGATAAGATGTTCAGGAGGAAGCTCTGCTCTTTTGAGACAACCACGTTTCCAAGCTGATTATGGACAATTAAATGACTTCAGTGGTCTCTTCCAAAATGAGCATTTCCAGGACCTGGAGTCTTGCCCAGCAGAGTGTCTTTTAGGTTGGCACGAGTCAGTGCAATAGAAAAGCTCTGCAGCAGCACTGTGATGCTCATGTGGTCACAGGCCAAAGAAGGGGCATGGCATGGTGGCCCCAGCATGCACACCTGCCATGGCAGGGGAGGGGGTTGCAGCACCCTGCAGCGGAGCTGAGAGTATCTTCCCTGACTGGCAGTGCGCCCCTAAGGGCAACAGGTCCATGCCTTACTCATCTGAGTCTGCCACTGGACCTGTCACATAGGAGGGCACATAAATGTTTGTGAACTAATAGCATTCTGGCTCCCCAGCTAGAAAATGTGGGCCCAGCCACCCAATTTGGACTGCCACAACCATCACTGCTGCACAGAGGATGGAGGTCAGCTCCAGGGACAGGCTTGTCCTTCAGCTTGCCAAGTTCCTCTGCACCCTGAGCTGCTGCCACACTGCAGGCACCACTGCCTTAAGGAACCATCCTCCAGGTTGCCACAGTCTGCAGTGAGGACCCTCCCCAGCATCCCAGTCTGCAGTGAGGACCCTCCCCTGTATCCCAGTCTGCAGTGAGGAACCTCCCCAGCATCCCAGTCTGCAGTGAGGACCTCCCCAGAATCCAATCTTGCAGTGAATACCCTGCCTGGTGTCCCAGCCTGCAGTGAGGACCCTCCCTAGCATCCCAGTCTACAATGAGAACCCCCCAACATTACAGTCTGCAGTGAGACCCTCCCCTTATCCCAGTCTGTAGTGAGGACCCTCCCCTGAATCCCAGTCTGCAGTGGGGACCCACCCCAGCATCCCACTCTGCAATGAAGACCCTCCCCAGCATCCCAGCCTGTAGTGAGGATCCTCCCCAGAATCCCAATCTGTGAATACCCTGCCTGGTATCCCAGCCTGCAATGAGGACCCACCCTAGCATCCCAGTTTACAATGAGAACCCCCCCCCCCCATAACATTCTAATCTGTAGTGAGGACCCTACCCTGTACTCCAGCCTACAGTGAGGACCCTCCCCAACATCCCAGCCTGCAGTGAGGACCCTCCCTCGCATCCCAGTCTACAATGAGGACCACCCCCCCAACATTCCAATCTGTAATGAGGACCCTCCCTGTATCCCAGTGTGCAGTGAGGACCCTCCCCAGCATCTCAGCCTGCAGTTAGAACCTCCCCAGCTGCAGTTAGAACCTCATTCCAGGCTGCAATGAGGATGCTCCCGGATGAAAGAAAATTTAACTTCTGGAGACCAGACTCAGTGGAAATTCATATTCTAGCTGGCATCTGGGACTCCCAGAGGGCTAGGGACCAGGACAGCCTTGCCTAAGGATGACTCCGTTTCCTTCAAGAGCAGGGAGGACTGCGGAGGAAGCCTCTGCTCTCCTCCCTGTGTACCACACCCCGCGATCCCCCCCAGTGGCACTAGACAACTCTAGGTGGGCAGGAGAACTCTGTGTGCCTTTACATGGGTGTGTGTGCCTCCGTGCCAGTGTATGTCCCATGGGTGCTGCGTCGTGGCAAGAGGCCTCACTACAGCTGAAAATTTCTCCTCTGTGCACCGGGAATGTGGGTCACACCTTTTGAGTTTTACCAAGTTTTCAAAGGTGCTCACTTTAAGCCAACAGTAGCCAGGTCAGTGATCTATAGAAAATACTGTAGTCCCAGTTGGACTGTCCCTTTTAAGGGGACTCCTGATATTAATCATTGTGAGAGAGGACAGTAGTGGGCTATGCCCCGCTGCTCTGCACCATCCCAGCCCCACCCTGGAGCAGCTGAGCTCCAGCCAGCTCCAGGCTGGACCCCCACACAGGGAGGGTGGAGCACCCACCTGGCTGGTCGATAGCAGCTCTGGGTTCCCGTCACTCATCCCCACGTAGGCACTGTCACCATCAAACTGGAACAGAGAAAGAGAGAGAAGCGGGTCTGAGTAAGGTTTTCAAGAAGGCCCCTGGAGAAGCCCAAGTAGGTCAGGGGACTGAATACACTGAGGGGGGCAAGGTCTGTCTGTGGGGCCTAGAGAAGCAAAGTTCCAGCCCAAGATGCTCAAATCCCATTTCAGCAGGATTCCCTCTGGGGTGAAACGAGCAGCCCCTGTCCTGTGGCCCCTGTGGGCTTGGATTAGCACCATTAATCACAGTTAGGATGAAGAGAGGAAAACCCTTCTGCCCTGTCCATAGATGCAGCAGCTGTTCCTTGTCAGATACTGAGCTCCCCTTCCCTCGAAGTATGCAAATATCTCTCTTGGTCAAAATGACATCAGACTATCAGCTAGAGCTAGAATTCCACATGATGGAGACAGACTGAGGTCTTCAGAGCCCTGGGGGTCATGACACTTCCCCCAGACATGCCCTCCAGGTCTTACCATCCTAAGAAGCTTTGCCCCCCTCACATTTGCCCTTCAGGCCACCCGTGTTCACAGGCAGAGAGGACTGTGGTAGAGACCACACATAGAAACTGCAATCCTGTGTTCTGAGAAGCTGCCAACTCTGGATTCAGAAAGATCTCCCTGCAGTAGGAGGAAGATATAGTGGGAGAAGTGTGGGTTTTGGGGCCACTGGCTGTTTCCCCTGATGCGTGATCTTGAGTAGGGGTCTGAACTTCTGAGGTCCCTCATCTGTTTAATGAGGATAATGACAGTAGTCTCCTCTCCATGGGGTGCTTCACAGAAACGTGGAGCACTTAGCTCATTTCCAGTAAGTTCTCTTCCATTGAGATAGGTGTCTTGGATCAGGTTCCCTAAATTTGGAGCCTAAGACCAGGATTCAAATGCATGTGATTTTTGAGAAGTGCTCTTTAGGAAACTATGAGGGAGGGAAGGAAGCAGGACAGGGCAGTGGAAGTACCTAAGCAAAGATACAATCTCAGCTGGAGGCCTGCTGTAGCCTGATCCCAGGGGGGGCTGTGGGGCATGAATTGCACCACGGAGTTAAGTCAGTCACTGGCTGTGGGCTGCCCTTAGGGGACAGGGGAAGGCATAATCTTCTGAACAGGGCAGTCCCCATTTGGCCAAGGACAGTTCCCCAGAGAATTGTGCCAGTTGTGAGCCATTTGCAGCCAATGTTCCTAGCAGATGGGAGATTGCTGTGCAGGCTAGTAAAGGGATCCTGTGTTCTGGGTGGGGCCCCAATGGCAGCTGGCCATTTTATTTTAATTGAAAATTTAATTGTTTTATTAGGTTATATTCACATGGTTCAAAATTTCCAAAGCACAAAAAGCAACAGAGTGAAAAGTCTGCTTCCCACCCCACCTCCCAGCCATCCAACGCTCCTCTCCAGAGGCTACCACTGTACCTACAAGCTTCCTTTATATCCTTTCAGAGATGGTCCACATGTATACATGTTAGAGCAGTTTCTTTCACATAAATGGCAACATACTATACACACTGTTTTGCACCTCATTTTTATCCTAGCAACACATCTTGGGAACTTGTTTATATCAGAACATAATTCTGTCTTCTGGCACCTAGTATTCCATAGTATGGATATAACAGATATATTTAACTAGGTGAGCTCACGGGCAATTGAGCTGTTTCTAGTCTTTCCCTGTTCCAGCAGTGCGCTCACGAATCATTTCGCATGGGTGTGAGTTTATCTGTAGGATTAGTTTGAATAATAATAACAGGTCCAACTGTGTGTGCATTTGTAATTTTGATAGGCATCGCCAAGCACCTTCATGGAGACTGTAAAAATCGACCCTCCCACAATCACGCACAAGACATCTGGACCCTTGTCACTCAGAGAGGCTTTCCTCAACAACTGGCTCTGATGCCAGCCTCCTACCTGTGTGGGTCCTGCGAGCCCACCACCACTATCCTTCCCGATTCCCTTGCCCTGCTCTACCTCATTCTTTGCTCCATAGACCCTTTTACTTTCTAGCGTTCTATATCATTTACTTATTTACCATGCTCGTGGCTTATAGTAGATTCCCCCTGTTAAAACTGAGGCTTTCAAAGGTCAGGGACCTTAGTCTTGCTACCTCCTAAGCACCTAGAATAGTGCCTGGCACAAAGCAGAAAGTAAATTATTGCTTGTTGAATGAATGAATGAATGAATGAATGAATGAAGCAACCACTGCACCATTCATATTGTCTTTTCCTAGTGCAGTCTCCCCATCAAGGCAGTAGGATTGATGGCTATTCCCAAATGTCTTCCCGGCATAGGGATGGGCAGAGTCCCTCAGTGACTGCAGGATTAACAAAAGAAAAGGCTGCAGCATGCCTAGAGCCCCAAATGCAGGGCTCCATCCACCACATTGCACCTTGAGCTCACACTTCAAGGCCCTGCTCAGAAATCACCTCCTCAGGAGGCCTGCCATGCTCTCGCCTCCTCTGGCTGTCTCTCTTACAATACAGATTATCTCCACATCTGTCTTCCGCCCCAGAGTGGGAGCAGCATGGAGGCTAGAACTGTGTCCGGTCATCTCCAAACCCCCAAGCACATGGAACAGGCTGGCATCAGAAGGGACTAAGCTCTTGGGTACTTTCTGATGTGTCACCATGGCCATTTGTTACTTTTATAAAAGTAGAATGTTTTTCAAAACCACACGTAATTTATAAGTATGTCCTAAAAGAAAGAATGACTAGAAATGGAGGGGGACTAGAGTTTAATCAGATATCTGAAATATTGATAAAGCAACAGTAATCAAACAGTATGGCAGAGGTTAAAAATACAGGAACATGTATCAAAGAAGCAAGGGAAAGCTGTCCCCCCAAAGCCCGAGAAACAGCCCAGTTATTAACTGCTGACTACAACGGAATCACCACAAAAGGAGGAACCCGTCTGCTCTCCCCAATGCACACAACAGGCGCTCAACAAATATTTGGTTAATGAATGAATATGCTTGGCACTGAGCAAAATACTTTCCATAAAAGATCTTATTTCATCCTCAGAACAACCCAGTGAAAGCAGGTATTATTTTCCCTGTTTAAAACCAAGGAAACAGGTTGGAAGGATTAGCAGCTGCCTCAAAATTGCACACTTAGTGACAAGCTGGGCTTCACAGCTTCTTGACAGCTTCTTCACAGCTTCTTGTCTGCTTCTTTGGTTTGGTTTCTCCCACTAGGCTGGAAGCTCCTCAAGAGGGGGGATCGAGGCTTTGCTGCACCCCACTATGGAACCAATCATTAGCCTGGGCCTGGCACATACTAGGTGGCACACAATAAGCATGTGTTAGTGGTTCAGGGAGGGAGGCATTATCTGCAGTGAGCCGTGGGGGATGGCTCTGGGGACATGAGGAGAGAAAACCCTGGATTTTGATGTGTGTATGCTGGAGGATGCAAGGGGGTTGGCCCGTGGACCACATGAGGTCACCAGAGCCTGCCTCTAGGGGTTTATTCATTCACTTGTTTATTCACCCAAGAAAGAGCTGCCCCACACCAAAGTAAAGCTTGCTTCTTGCTTTCAAGGGACCTAGAAGTTGGCAGAGGTTCCCAAGGCAGGGCCTGGGTCAGCCTCTGGTTACTCCCAGGTGTCTGGCAGGGTCCACTGGGAGCACACGGCGCTTGGGACCTGGCTACTGAGCAGCCAAGAACCCGAGGTGGTGGTGGGATGGGGGCGTCTGTCCTCTGCTCCCCCCCTGCCATCCAGTGTTCCACCATGCCAGACTTCTTGCAAGGAGGAGGAAGGAGAGAGGATGATCCCGAGGGTCCCAGGCTTCCTCTGGCTTGGCCCTCAAGGTCCTATGGCCTGGGGCTTACCTCCTCAGCCCTTTTGGGGAGGTTGCTTTCTGGGGGAAAGAACCTGTAAGCCAAGGGGAGAAGTCAAAGGGCAAAGCAGGGCTACTTCCTCCTCTGTGTGCACAAGATCATGAATGCCCACATCGACAGCCACCACACAGCAAATGCTGAGTGTGTATGTGGACACAAGTGAACACAATGGACGCAGCGTGCCCAGGCATGGTGACCAGATACACACCACAAACCAGTGGGGGAACCATGTCACACACAACACAGCATTCAAGAATGCACTTAGTCACACACGTACCACATCCATGGGTAACACAAACCAACACAGAGGCGTCTACGGCACAAGCATGGGACTCTTTACATGACTGAACCACAATGCCCACAGGATGCACGCACGGACAAGAAACGGTGCCCAGATGTGTATAAATATACATTCACCTGCAGCTGTATAAATAGAACTCACATAAATGTGCACACAAACATATAAGGCATAAGCATGTAGACACATACACAAAGCAAAGATACACAAGAACTTAAATTCTGTGCATATTTCACAGTCTATCAGTCCCTCAGCCAAAAATATTTTTTTCACACGACACAGCCTCCTGTATGCTTTAAAATCGGGGAGTGGGGGAATGCAGGGGAAACAAGGGCCTAAGAATTTCCACGAAACGCCAGGAGAACATCCTCTCACCACTGACTGGAATAGATTAATTTTCCCCATTTCATATTCTAATTATAATTCCTGTTCCCATCGCCATCTTCAGTCCTCATTACAGCTGGAAGATTGTTCTGCAAAAGCCAGACCTTCATCTTCTCTTCCCAAGAGTTTTGTCATGGAAATGAGTTTTGGAATCTGAAAGGACCCACATTTTTGCAAATATCGAATGTGTGGGGATAACCCTTTCATGACGGCCACCAGGGACTCTGCTCACAGAGGCTTCCAAAGAGTCTGTATCTCCCCCCATGCCATGTGGTCCCTGGGTAAGAGGGGTTCCTGGGCTCCTATTCAACAGCTCTCCCAACCTAGATCCCATTTTTATCTTTAAGGACACTTAGCAAATAGGCAGCCAAGGTGAAAGGTGGGAGCCCTGATCTTAGAGTCAGATGATGCCAGCTCCATCAGCACTACCCTGAGCAAGTGCCCTAGCTGCTCTGTGCCTCAGTTTCCTCATTCCTATGACCCACAGAGTCACTGATTCATATTAGCT